TTGCTTTAGCATCTCTATGCTAGAAAGCAAGTTTCAGAGTATCTTCTAATACCCATTTTTGTCCATTCCTTCTCTCCTGTATTCTCAGTGACCATTTGCTTTCCTCCTGTATGATGTGTATGATGTTCTTGGTGTTGATTCACAACTCTTCTTATCTTCAGTCTTTAGTTTCTAATGCACCAAATCTGTCTTTCAGATGATCTCAGTTTTCAGGTGGGAATATATTCAAGGCCATACTTAAGCTGTCCTGGAGTTGCTTTTATTTTTCTTTGTGTTCAGCCTGAATTTGCATATGAGCAATTGATGGTGTGTTCCACAATCTGCCCCTGGCTGTGTTTGGTTGATTATACGTAGTTTTTCCACCATCTCTTTCCACAGATGTAGTTAATTTGATTTTGATGTATTTCATCTGGTGAGGTCCATGTTTCTAGTCATCTTTTATGCTGTTTAAATAAGGTATTTGCAATGAAGAAGTCATTAGTCTTGCAAAATCACATCCTGCTATCTCCAGCATCATTTCTATCATCAAGGCCATGTTTTCCAACTATTGATCTATCCTCATTGTTTCCAACCTTTTCATTCCAATCTCCTGTAATTATCAATACATCTTGATTATGTGTTTGATCAATTTCAGACTGAGAAAGTTGGTAAACTTCTTCAATTTCATCATCTCCTTCTTCAGTGGTTGGTGCATAAATTTGAATAATAGTGGTATGAACTGGTCTTCCTCACAATGAAGAGAAACAGCTGTAAAAATCCATTAATAACTGGAACATGGAATGTATGAAATATGAATCCAGGAAAATTGGAAATTTCAAAAAAGGAAATGGAATATATAAACAGTGATACCCTAGGCATTAGTGTGCTGAAATGGACTTGTGTTGACAATTTTGAATATGATAGTCACATGGTTTACTATGCTGGGAATGAGAAATTGAAGAGCAATGGCATCGCATTTATCATCAAAAAGAATGTATTAAGAGCAGTCATGAGGTACAACGCTGT